TACTGCCCAAGTCAAGTGCCACTTAAAGGGATAATGCCTGTTCTTGCATTAATCCTTTGAGGGACTGCCGCCCTTCAACTAAAGAGATCTGGATTCTTGTAGTGCACCAACTGGGCCCCAACAAGCACGCAGATCTTTCACTGCAGTTGAAGGGATGTTAGCCCTCCTAATTAAAGAGGTCTTTTTCCTACCTCAGCCTAGAACCTTGCCATCAGCTTCTGAGGGCCCAAAGTAAGCTATAGTAGCTTCACCCTTGGTAATTTTTTTCTTTGCTCACCGAGGACAAGAAACACCTCAGAATTGAGGCCCTTGGTTAAATTCTGAATATCAGGACTTTTAGTACTGATCGAGATTTTGCTGTATGTGTTGTTTTCTTTGCTTAGAGTCACTTAGAGTGATAACTGCTATTACGTGCAGACATAAAATATCATTTCACTTTAATCTGTGTCAGAATCTATTTTCTGGTGGTGATTAGAAAGAATTTACTCAGAAGAGCACTGGTGTCAGCAGGGGCTGGGCCTTCAGAGTGGGGTCAATAGTGACAGGGAGCCCGAAAATAACTCAGCGTCTCCCAAGGGCTACAAAGGGGTTTGCAACAACTTTACAAATCCCTTGGCTAACATGTTTTTAGCCATACCCAGCTTTAGTCACAGCCACATCATTTACAAAATGAAGACTCCGTAAATATCCACCACCAATGTGTACAAAAAAAAAGGTATAAATCTTGGGAGTAAATATGTGCAATTCATACAGAGCAAGCCCAAAAACGTACATAAATCATGATAAAGTCATACAAATAAAACATGTGAAGGTCCACAAGCAGTCTGCATAAATACTATATCCATTCATTAAATATGTCATCTATTATATATTATACTATAATAAGGGAGATGCCGATGGGCATTAACATGCAAGGCCAAAATCCCATCTATGATGAAGGCCAGAGGGAACTCTAGTTTGTAGCTTAAGATCTGAGATGGTTGCTTTTGAAGCTCATGGATTTTTCTTTCCTTTACAAAGACTCTCTTCCTGTTTTATAGCAAAAAGTACAAAATATTGTGTTTTTTCATTTTGTATAATAAAAAACCCAGCGGTGATCAAATACCACCAAAAGAAAGCTCTATTTGAGTGGGGGGAAAAAAAAAAAAAGATATAAATTTAATTTGGGTACAGCATTGCATAACTGTGCAATTGCCAGTTAAAGTGGCGCAGTACCAAACAGCAAAACATGGCCTAGTCATAAATCTTCCAGAGGTTAAAGCGGAGTTCCACTCACCCTGAAAAAAAAAAAAAGTCAGCAGCTACAAAAACTGTATCTGTTGACTTTAAAAAAAACAGCCACTTACCTGTCCCTCGGTCCCGTGGTGTGTCCCCCCGCAGCCCGTTTCACCGGCCGTCCTATATTCCAGGAGACTGGCATCTTCAGTGTGGGCACCCGGCTGTGACAGCCTGCGGCTTCACAGCCGGCTACCCACTGCACATGTGCGAGTAGCACTGCGCATCATGAATGGTCCTGCAGTCTTCTGGGACCTGTCACGTGTCCCAAAAGACTACAGGGAGGGAGGACAACTTCTGTTTCCGATCGACTACGCGGGTACCTGTCAAATTTGGGTACCCGCTCCCCTGCCCCCCCAAAGGTGCCAATCCTTAATGGGGAGCAGTCCTTAAAGCGGAACTTCCCCTTTTGGGTGGTGCTCCGCTTTAAGTGGTTGAAACCATATTTAGAGTGTGTGGGAACTCGCTTCAAGTGGTAGAGCTCTTCTTCAAAACACACAGCAACTCGCATCTGTTTAAGGGCCTTTTTGCCCACTTTTATTTACAAGAAAGTTCAAATAAACAAGAATGCTTCCCACGCAGGGGTATCCATCATCAAGCAAATTAATAGTATTCAGCCTCCTGGCTTGCACGCAGTTTTAAGTCTGCCTCCTGCAGACTCTTCCCAAAATATGGCACCAGCACACAGCTAGTCTGGCTTCCACCTGACTCCAAGGCAGAGACCTCCCGTCTGCCGGGGTGGAGCCCTCCTGACTCAGTTTGCCGGGGTGGAGCCCAGAACCATGGGTAGGCCTCTACAAAAAGGCCTGCACACACCTGTGCAATCAGTGTGCTGGGGGTTCTCAAAACACGGACCCCGGATTGGAGATTTCATCCCTCCAGATCTCTTTGAAATCTCCAGGCTCCAGATCCCAAAACAGACTTAATGAGTAAATGAGGAAACTGAAAAGCCAGTTTTCCTCTGCAATCCATCAACTCTCTGGAGCCCTCAACCTGCCTGGTTGAGAATCCAGGGTTTTCAGCTTTATTTTTACTGTGGCAGGACACCGCACTGCCACAAGTGTAACATGCAATTCTCCAAAAGCTTCCGTATTGCATGGGTGCCGTTGGGCGGCGGGAGGGGAGGAACATCTGCTCCCGCTGCCTGTAAAAGCAATCCAGAGGCTAATCAGCCTCTAGGATGGCTTTTACAACACAGGGAATCACCGGCTGAAAAAAAAAAAAATTAAAAAAATATATATATCTATCTCTATCCATCTCGCTCTCTCTCCATCCATCCATCTCTCTATCCGGCTCTCTGTCCGGCTCTCTGTCCATCTCTCGCTCTCTCTCTCTCTACCCCTCTCTCTACCCATCTCTCTCTCTCTCTCTCTACCCATCTCTCTCTACCCCTCTCTCTCTCTCTATATCTATCTCTCTCTCTCTCTCTCTCTATCTAGATCAGTGGTTCTCAACCTTTCTAATGCCGCGACCCCTTAATACAGTTCCTCATGTTGTGGTGACCCCCAACCATAAAATTATTTTTCGTTGCTACTTCATAACTGTAATTTTGCGGGGGGAGGAACAGTGCCCCATCGTTGGTGTCAGTGGGGGGAGGAACAGTGCCCCATCGTTGGTGTCAGTGGGGGGAGGAACAGTGCCCCATCGTTGGTGTCAGTGGGGGGAGGAACAGTGCCCCATCGTTGGTGTCAGTGGGGGGAGGAACAGTGCCCCATCGTTGGTGTCAGTGGGGGGAGGAACAGTGCCCCATCGTTGGTGTCAGTGGGGGGAGGAACAGTGCCCCATCGTTGGTGTCAGTGGGGGGAGGAACAGTGCCCCATCGTTGGTGTCAGTGGGGGGAGGAACAGTGCCCCATCGTTGGTGTCAGTGGGGGGAGGAACAGTGCCCCATCGTTGGTGTCAGTGGGGGGAGGAACAGTGCCCCATCGTTGGTGTCAGTGGGGGGAGGAACAGTGCCCCATCGTTGGTGTCAGTGGGGGGAGGAACAGTGCCCCATCGTTGGTGTCAGTGGGGGGAGGAACAGTGCCCCATCGTTGGTGTCAGTGGGGGGAGGAACAGTGCCCCATCGTTGGTGTCAGTGGGGGGAGGAACAGTGCCCCATCGTTGGTGTCAGTGGGGGGAGGAACAGTGCCCCATCGTTGGTGTCAGTGGGGGGAGGAACAGTGCCCCATCGTTGGTGTCAGTGGGGGGAGGAACAGTGCCCCATCGTTGGTGTCAGTGGGGGGAGGAACAGTGCCCCATCGTTGGTGTCAGTGGGGGGAGGAACAGTGCCCCATCGTTGGTGTCAGTGGGGGGAGGAACAGTGCCCCATCGTTGGTGTCAGTGGGGGGAGGAACAGTGCCCCATCGTTGGTGTCAGTGGGGGGAGGAACAGTGCCCCATCGTTGGTGTCAGTGGGGGGAGGAACAGTGCCCCATCGTTGGTGTCAGTGGGGGGAGGAACAGTGCCCCATCGTTGGTGTCAGTGGGGGGAGGAACAGTGCCCCATCGTTGGTGTCAGTGGGGGGGGAGGAACAGTGCCCCATCGTTGGTGTCAGTGGGGGGAGGAACAGTGCCCCATCGTTGGTGTCAGTGGGGGGAGGAACAGTGCCCCATCGTTGGTGTCAGTGGGGGGAGGAACAGTGCCCCATCGTTGGTGTCAGTGGGGGGGGGAGGAACAGTGCCCCATCGTTGGTGTCAGTGGGGGGAGGAACAGTGCCCCATCGTTGGTGTCAGTGGGGGGGAGGAACAGTGCCCCATCGTTGGTGTCAGTGGGGGGAGGAACAGTGCCCCATCGTTGGTGTCAGTGGGGGGAGGAACAGTGCCCCATCGTTGGTGTCAGTGGGGGGAGGAACAGTGCCCCATCGTTGGTGTCAGTGGGGGGAGGAACAGTGCCCCATCGTTGGTGTCAGTGGGGGGAGGAACAGTGCCCCATCGTTGGTGTCAGTGGGGGGAGGAACAGTGCCCCATCGTTGGTGTCAGTGGGGGGAGGAACAGTGCCCCATCGTTGGTGTCAGTGGGGGGGGAGGAACAGTGCCCCATCGTTGGTGTCAGTGGGGGGAGGAACAGTGCCCCATCGTTGGTGTCAGTGGGGGGAGGAACAGTGCCCCATCGTTGGTGTCAGTGGGGGGAGGAACAGTGCCCCATCGTTGGTGTCAGTGGGGGGAGGAACAGTGCCCCATCGTTGGTGTCAGTGGGGGGAGGAACAGTGCCCCATCGTTGGTGTCAGTGGGGGGAGGAACAGTGCCCCATCGTTGGTGTCAGTGGGGGGAGGAACAGTGCCCCATCGTTGGTGTCAGTGGGGGGAGGAACAGTGCCCCATCGTTGGTGTCAGTGGGGGGAGGAATAGTGCCCCATCGTTGGTGTCAGTGGGGGGAGGAATAGTGCCCCATCGTTGGTGTCAGTGGGGGGAGGAATAGTGCCCCATCGTTGGTGTCAGTGGGGGGAGGAATAGTGCCCCATCGTTGGTGTCAGTGGGGGGAGGAATAGTGCCCCATCGTTGGTGTCAGTGGGGGGAGGAATAGTGCCCCATCATTGGTATCAGTGGGAGGAATAGTGCCCCCATCATTGGTGTCAGTGGGAGGAATAGTGCCCCATCGTTGGCATCAGGGGGAGCAATAGTGCCCCATCGTTGGTGTCAGTGGGAGGAATAGTGCCCCATCGTTGGTGTCAGTGGGAGGAATAGTGCCCCATCGTTGGTGTCAGTGGGAGGAATAGTGCCCCATCGTTGGTGTCAGTGGGAGGAATAGTGCCCCATCGTTGGTGTCAGTGGGAGGAATAGTGTCCCATCGTTGGTGTCAGTGGGAGGAAAAGTGCCCCATCGTTGGTGTCAGTGGGAGGAAAAGTGCCCCCATCGTTGGTGTCAGTGGGAGGAAGAGTGCCCCATCGTTGGTGTCAGTGGGAGGAAGAGTGCCCCATCGTTGGTGTCAGTGGGGGGAGGAATAGTGCCCCATCATTGGTAATAGTGACACCAATGATTGGGCACTATTCCTCCCACTGACACCAATGATACTTACCTTGCTGACCCCTGCTCCAGCCTGGGCTCGCTCGCTCCCTCCCTCTCCCATGGTACAAACACTTACCGGTCAGATGGCTTCCTTCTCCGGCCGCTTTCCTCCTCTTCACTCGCTCGTGCTTCGCGGTGCCGCTCGGCTCCTCCTTTCCAAGCTCCACCTCCTCTCCGGTGATTGGCCTCCTGTGTGCCTCCCTTGAGCTACAGTTCCGGCGGCCAATCACCGACGAGGAAGGATTGATCCCGGGGGTGAGTCCAGATGACAGGGACGGCATGTCATCCCGCCCACACCTGCAGACGGATCAAGGAGCGGTGTCTCGGTTCCTAAGGCCATCGGAAATATGTGTTTTCCGATGGTCTTAGGCGACCCCTGGGAAAGTGTCGTTTCGACCCCCAAAGGGGTCGTGACCCCCAGGTTGAGAACCGCTGATCTAGATGATGCCTGTAGCTGCACTCCCCTCAAAGTCCAGGACGTCATATGACATTATACAGGCGGGAAGTGGATAAAACAGTGGGCTGTGCCTATAAAGTGAACCTGTTACTTTGTCCTGCAAAGGCAGGGGGACACTGGAGCAAGTGGCTTGCAGAATAAAAATGTGGCAAGTAGAAAACGGTAATAAATCACAGTGTGTATGTAATACAGGAAAGGAAAGGATTGTACAGGTGGGAGTTGGTTACTATCTCCTATTTCTTATTCTGGGGTTTCCACTCGTAGATGATGATATAAGTCAGCAGTCTGCTGTGATTTGGCACAAGACAGAGCTGACAGCGAGGAGCTGTAGAGAGAACGCTTCAGGCGGTGGATATCCGCACGTTACATGACACAGGGGACAAGGACAGGAAATGTCACTGAAACAAATTTCATTGTGGAAGAACCTCGTCAGATCAATGACATGAATTTCCCGAGTCAATTATAAGGGGGGAGGTTTCAAGGATTCATCTCCTTGTTAAGCCAATTCCACCCTTGGTGGCGACAAAGATAAATCTAATGACAATAGCAATGTCCAGCGACTCGGGAACAAGACAGATACTGCGCAGGGGGAAAAGATTTAATACTGGAGATAGAACACAGATGTGTGGAAGGAGTAGAGAGTCACAGGAGGAAAGGAGGAGACAAGACAGAAAAAATGCTCACAATAGACAGCATTAAAGGAGAACGCCAACCACTAAGAGAGCATACAAACCCTATAATACAGCGGTTCTCAACCTGGGGGTCGCGACCCCTTTGGGGGTCGAACGACACTTTCCCAGGGGTCGCCTAAGACCATCGGAAAACACATATTTCCGATGGCCTTAGGAACCGAGACACCGCTCCTTGATCCGTCTGCAGGTGTGGGCGGGATGACATGCCGTCCCTGTCATCTGGACACACCCCCGGGATCAATCCTTCCTCGTCGGTGATTGGCCGCCGGAACTGTAGCTCAAGAGAGGCACACAGGCGGCCAATCACCGGCGAGGAGGTGGAGCTTGGAAAGGAGGAGCCGAGCGGCACCGCGAAGCACGAGCGAGTGAAGAGGAGGAAAGCGGCCGGAGAAGGAAGCCATCTGACTGGTAAGTGTTTGTACCATGGGAGAGGGAGGGAGCGAGCGAGCCCAGGCTGGAGCAGGGGTCAGCAAGGTAAGTATCATTGGTGTCAGTGGAAGGAATAGTGCCCAATCATTGGTGTCACTATTACCAACGATGGGGCACTATTCCTCCCACTGACACCAACGATGGGGCACTATTCCTCCCACTGACACCAACGATGGGGCACTATTCCTCCTACTGACACCAACGATGGGGCACTATTCCTCCCACTGACACCAACGATGGGGCACTATACTTCCCTCTGATACCAACGATGGGGCACTATTCCTCCCACTGACACCAATGTTGGGGCACTATTCCTCCCGCTGATACCAACGATGGGGCACTATTCCTCCCCACTGACACCAATGATGGGGGCACTATTCCTCCCACTGATAACAATGATGGGGCACTATTCCTCCCACTGACACCAATGATGGAGCACTATTCCTCCCACTGACACCAATAATGGGGCCGTATTCCCCCACTGACACCAATGATGGGGGACTATTCCCCCCACTGACACCTATGATGGGGCACTATTCCTACCACTGGCACCAATGATGGGGCACTATTCCTACCACTGGCACCAATGATGGGGGCACTATTCCTACCACTGATACCAATGATGGGGCACTATTCCTCCCATTGACATCAGTGATGGGACACTATTCCTCCCACTGACACCAATGACGTGGCACTATTCCTCCCACTGATACCAATGATGGGGCACTATTCCTCCCATTGACATCAATGATGGGGGCACTATTCCTCCCACTGATACCAATGATGGGGCACTATTCCTCCCACTGATACCAATGATGGGGCACTATTCCTCCCACTGACACCAATGATGGGGCACTATTCCTCCCACTGCAAAATTTACAGTTATGAAGTAGCAACGAAAATAATTTTATGGTTGGGGGTCACCACAACATGAGGAACTGTATTAAGGGGTCGCGGCATTAGAAAGGTTGAGAAAACCACTGCTATAATAGATTGTCCATTATAATGTATTATTACTCCCTGCTGAACTACCTGACTGTAGAGTGTTCTGCGTGCTCTGTGCCATGTCCCTGCTCCATGGACTATTAAAGTGACTGTAAATGTTCAAGTTTTTTTTTCTAAACAAAATATGTTATACTTACCTGCTCTGTACAATGGTTTTGCACAGAGCAGCCTTGATCCTCCTCATCTGGAATCTCCTGCTGGCACGCCTAGCTCCCCCCCCCCTCCTGTCTACTGCCCAACAGCAAGCCACTGGCTATGAGGGTGCACCTGCAGGCTCGCTTCCGAGCAGGGCTGTGTGCATCCATAGACATACAGCGCAGCTTGATCCCACCCCCGGTTCCCTCCTCTCAGCACTTGATTTACAGCAGCAGGCTCCTGCATCCATGTCTTGTCGAGAGAGAGAAAGAGAGAGAGGCAAAGACAGAGAGAGAGAGGCCGAGACAGACAGAGAGGGAGAGGCCGAGACAGACAGAGAGGGAGAGGCCGAGACAGACAGAGAGGGAGAGGCCGAGACAGACAGAGAGGGAGAGGCCGAGACAGACAGAGAGGGAGAGGCCGAGACAGACAGAGAGGGAGAGGCCGAGACAGACAGAGAGGGAGAGGCCGAGACAGACAGAGAGGGAGAGGCCGAGACAAAGAGGGAGAGGCCGAGACAGAGAGGGAGAGGCCGAGACAAAGAGGGAGAGGCCGAGACAAAGAGGGAGAGGCCGAGACAAAAGAGGGAGAGGAGAGAGAGAGAGGCCGAGAGAGAGAGAGGCCGGATGCGAGAGAGAGAGGCCGGCGCGAGAGAGAGAGGCCGGGCGAGAGAGAGAGGCCGGGCGAGAGAGAGAGAGAGGCCGGGGGGGCGAGGGGAGAGAGAGGAGGGGGGAGAGAGAGGGCCGGGCGAGAGAGAGAGGCCGAGGGAACGAGAGAGATGGCCGGAAGGGAGAGAGAGAGGCAAGCGAGGGGGAGAAAGAGACCGAGAGAGAGACCGAGCGAGAGAGAGGAAAAAGGAGCGAGAAAGAGAGATAGACGGACAGCGAGAAAGAGAGAAAGAGAGAGACCGAGCGAGAAAGAGAAAGAGAGAGAGCCGAGCGAGGAGGAAAGAGAAGTAGACCGAGCAAGAGAAGAGAGACCGAGCGAGAACCAGCGAGAGAAACCGAGCGATGACCGCGAGAGAAAGGAGGGAGGAGGAAAGAACCGAGCGAGAGAAAGAGGGAGATGTACCGCGAGAGAAAGAGGGAGACCGCGAGAGAAAGAGGGAGACCCCGCGAGAGGGAAGAGCGGGGGGACGCGAGAGAAAGAGGGAGGAGGAGAAAGAGGGAGACCCGGAGGAAAGGGGAGACCGCGAGGAGAAAGAGGGGAGGACGCCGAAGAGACAAGAGGCGAGAGAGGGGGGGGGAGAGAACCGAGAGAGAAAGACAGACATCCATAAAGAGAGATTGCAGAGAAAGCAATTGAGGTAAAAAAAAAACCCTTTAGTCCTTTACAACCACTTTAAAGAGGAGAGCTCAGGACAAAATGTAAAAAAATAGAGGCAGCTACAAAAATTGTAGCCGCTGACACTCACCTGTTCCCTTGATCCAGCGGGCCCTCAACTGCAGCCGTGCTTTTAAGCAGCCATCCACATCTCCCTGGCACCGCGGCATCTTAAGTGTGGACTCCCCGGCTGTGACAGCTTGCAGCTTCAAAGCCGGGTGTCCCACCTTGCATGCAATGGAGTAAGCACTGTCCCAGCTGGGTGTCAGTAGACCCTGTAACACGTGTCCCAGAAGACTATGAGAAGGGGTGAAGGACAATGTACGATCACACCTTCTGATACATATCAAAACTCAGGTACCCCCCCCTCCCCCACCCCCCCGCTCTTCCCAATAAGCTGCCAAATCTTTAAACGGGGAACTTTTTGGGGACAAGGCCCTTATAGTAGCGGAACTTCCCCTTTTGGATGGACCTCCGTTATTACATGGGGCCATTTGGATGCCCATCCTCCCTCCAGTTTGCCTTCCCCTCTCACTCCATCAGCTTCTGTCAAGCCCAAATTTCATAAAACTTTCAGCTGGTGTGTAAAATGCATGGGAAAGACAGCTTCGGGTGATTACGTTCAGTAGATTAAAAAGATTTCCTGACTTTTAAAGGAATTCAAACTCCTAACGGGGAATCCTACACAAATGGTCATATGACTGCACCCCTCTGACTCCAATTATCGAATAGTCAGGATTAAGGGAAAGAGCCACAGTTGCCATTATAGTTCAGAAAAACTTGTTCTTTTCAGATAATAACGACTCCTAGGATGTAGGGATGTCCTCGTATGAAGATATGGACCGATGAGATTTGTCTGTCCTACAAATCCCCTCTATTAAGCAATCTTGCATTGCTAATATTTTTAAGCACATGCAGCACAGCAGAGGAGCTCCTCTTCTCCAATCAGTGCTGGCTCCCATCCGTGTCGCTGAGAGCTCCCTTGTCTAATAATCTGACTGCATTATAATACAGGATTAATAACAGTTTTCAGAACGGAAGAGACGGAGCGCTCCAAATATCAGTAACCCACTGAAAATACCCCAATGTCATTATACTGGAGTCAGATCAGTGAAAGATAAAAACTTCACTGAAAATGGACGATGTGGTCCATACCCTAATGTGAAACTCGGTGTAGTTATTCCATAACCCTGAGGTCATCCACAGAGGACAAGGGGGCACGGCTCATAAGGGGGGGATATGATCTCCATGTATAATACATAAGGGGGGGGGATATGGATCACCATGTATAATACATAAGGGGGGTGGGGGGGGGATATGATCTCCATGTATAATACATAAGGGGGGATGGGGATATGATCTCCCATGTATAATACTAATGGGGAATATGAAATCTCCATGTATAATACATAATGGGGCGGATATGATCTCCATGTATAATACATAAGATGGGGTCTTCTGATCTCCATGTCGTATAATACATAAGGGGATTATAGATTCTCCATGTTAATACATAAAGCGGGTGGGGGGGGATTATAACTATCAATAATACATGTATAACTCCCTACATAAACATGGGGATATGATCTCCATGTTATAATAACATAAGGGGGATATGAATCTCCATGTAAACATACATAAGGGGGGAGGGATATGATTCTCCATGTATTAAATACATAAGGGGGGATATGATCTCCAGTGTATAATACTTAAGGGGGATATGATTTCCATGTATCAATACAATCGAAAGGGGGGATATGATCTCCATTGTAATAATGTGCATAAAGAAGCCAGGGGGAATATGATCTCCCATGTTATCAAATACATACTAGACCATGGGTATATCACCTTGTATAATACATAAGGGCGGAGATATCGATCTTCCATGTCATACAATTTCATGGGGGGGATATAACACACCAAGAACAAAAACATAAGGGGGGGATCTAAATAAGTCTCCATGTATAAATACCATAAGGGGGAGGATATGATCTCCTATGTATAATACATTAAAGGGGGAAACGCTTTTTGTAGCCAGCCAGACGTCTTTCAATACATAAGGGGGGACCTATGATCTGCCCAATGTTAAAATACAGAAAGTGGGGCATTCTTTTGAGATCTCCATGTATAATACGGCTTTTTAAGGGGGGAATCCATGATCTTCAAGTATAATACCAAAAGGTCAGGAGATATGATCTCCATGGTATAATACATAAGCCTCTTGATATGATCTAATCCACTGTACCGTGGTGAATCGCAAGAATGTTTGGGCACCACCAGCTAAACATTTGTATTAATGTGCATAAAGAAGCCAAGGAAAGATGGCAAAAATCTACCAAAATTTGCTGATCAAATATTTACAGTATTGAGACATTCTTATAAAATCCGGTCAACAAAAGTTAGATTATTATTATCCATTCATTTACACTTTGAAAAATCACAACAAGAAAACAAAAAAAATTGCATCTGCTTAAAAGTTTGGGCTCCCACTGCAGAGTCATTAATATCTTGTACTTGCTGCCCCCTTTGGGCCAAGTACTTCACAGCTTGTAAAACGCTTTTTGTACCTCACTGCCAAGAAGTATCTTTCAATGCATCAGGCTTGTTTTAGGTATCTTTGCCCACTTCTTCTTACTAAAAGTATTCCAGTTTCTTTTGAGATTTCTGGGGGTCTGTCACGCCACTGCTCTTTTAAAGTCGAACCATAGATTTTCAAGTTATGTTGAGGTCTGGGAGTATTGGCAAAGGACATGGACACATAAACCACTTCAGTTTACGCCTCTTGAATGTTAATCCCCTCCGTGGATTTTCGAGGTGTGTTTAGGATCGGTTATCTCCATTTGTAGAAGCCACTTCCTCTCTTTAAAACTTCAGCTTTTTCACAGATCTTAGGCTTCTCCACTGTGCCTGATACCATTTCCGAAAATTTTCTGAACAGAATTTTATTGAATCCGCGTTTCCTTCCACTCGTGAGATGTTCTCCCTGTGCCACTTTGGCTGCAACACAACCCCCAAAGTTTCATGATTCGATTCCAAACCCCATGCTTAACATTTGGACAGAGGTTCTTTTCATTACATTCTGTGCCCCTTCTTCTCCCAAACGTACCTATGTTGCTCATGTCCCGGCCAAAAATTATTCAATTTTAACATAACTGTATCGGTCCACAGAACTTGTGCCCCATCGTTGGTATCAAAATGCATCCAGGCTTGTCTAAATGTTCATTTGGGAGGAAAGTTCCAAACGATGATTGGTTCAGTGGTGAGGGACTTAAGAAGAGGTTTCTTCTCAGATGACGTCTTCCATGAAGACCATATAGTGTACAATCGTCTCTTTCTGTAGTGGAATAGTGTACTCACAACACCAGTTGTCCTTGCCAGATCTTTCTGGCAGGGGATTCGTGCAGTCAAAGTGGGTTTTGAATTGTTGTCTTGCTCACAAATCCCTGCGAGGCGGTATCTGTCTGATATTTTTCTTGGTCTTCCAGATCTTGCATTAACTTCCATGTTCCTCCTGATGACTGCCAGTTTTATTAATTACATTCCCCAACAGAGGACTATTGACATCTGAAAAAACCGCGTTGCTATCTTCTTATAGCCTTCTCCAGCCGTTTGTCAGGTGAGCGCGTCCAATAGTTTCAGTTTCAGTTTTCAGGTGGGGCACGGTATACATGCCTCTAGAACTCGTGGTTCATCGAACCTGGGGGGATAATGCCTCGAACACCCCTTAATACAGTTCCTCATGTTGTGGTGACCCCCAACGGGGGGGTTAAATTATTTTTGGTGTGGCTACTTCATAACTCGTAATTCTGCAGTGGGGGAGGAATAGTGCCCCCATCGTTGGTGTCAGTGGGGGCGGAGGAATAGTGCCCCATCGTTGGTGTCAGTTGGGGGGAGGAATAGTGCCCCATCGTTGGTCGTCTAGATGGGGGGAGGATAGTGCCCCATCGTTGGTGTCAGTGGGGGGGGAGGCGAATAGTGCCCCATCGTTGGTGTCAGTGGGGAGGAGGGGAATATCGTGCCCCCATCGTTGGTGTCAGTGGGGGGAGGAATAGTGCCCCATCGTTGGTGTCAGTGGGGGGGGGGAATTAGTGCGCCCCATCGTGGTGGCGTGTTCAAGTGGGGGTAGGAATAGTGCCCCATCGTTGGGTGTCAGTGGGGGGAGGAATACAGTGCCCCATCGTTCGCGTGTCAGTGGGGGGAGAGAATAGTGCCCCATCGTTGGTGTCAGTGGGGGGAGGAATAGTGCCCCATCGTTGTGTCAGGTGGGGGGAGGAATAGTGCCCCATCGTTGGTGTCACCCTGGTGTCAGGAATAGTGCCCCATCGGGTTGGAGTGAAGCGGATGAATAGTGCCCCATCATGTAGGTGTCAGTGGGGGGAAATAGTGCCCCATCGTTGGTGTCAGTGGGGGGAGGAATAGGCCCCATCGTTGGTGTCAGCTGGGGGGACAGGAAATAGTTGCCCCATCGTTGGTGTCAGTGGGGGGAGGAATAGTGCCCCATCGTTGGTGTGTCCAGTGGGGGGAGGAATAGTGCCCATCGTTGGTGTCAGTGGGGGGAGGAATAGTGCCCCATCGTTTCGGTGTCAGTGGGGGGAGGAATAGTGCCCCCATCGTTGGTGTCAGAGTGGGGGGAGGGAATAGTGCCCCATCGTTGGTGTCAGTGGGGGGAGGAATAGTGCCCCATCGTTGGTGTCAGTGGGGGGGACGGAATAGTGCCCCATCGTTTGGTGTCAGTGGGGGTGGAGGAATAGTGCCCCATCGTTGGTGTCAGTCGGGGGGAGGAATAGTGCCCCATCGTTGAGGGTGTCAGTGGGGGGAGGAATAGTGCCCCATCGTTGGTGTCAGTGGGGGAGGAATAGTGCCCATCGTTGGTTCATGGGAGTGTCAGTGGGGGGAGGAATATGCCCCATCGTTGGTGTCAGTGGGGGAGAATAGTGCCCCATCGTTGGTGTCAGTGGGGGGAGGAAATAGTGCCCCCATCGTTGGGGTGTCAGTGGGTGGGGAAGGAATAGTGCCCCTCGTTCGTCAGTGGGTGTCAGTCGTGGGGGGAGGAAATAGTGCCCCATCGTTGGTGTCAGTGGGGGGAGAGGAATAGTGCCCCATCGTTGGTGTCAGTGGGGGGTAGGAATAGTGCCCCATCGTTGGTGTCAGTGGGGGGAGGAAATAGTGCCCCATCGTTGGTGTCAGTGGGGGGAGAAATAGTGCCCCATCGTTGGTGTCAGTGGGGGAGGAATAGTGCCCCATCGTTGGTGTCAGTGGGGGGAGGAATAGTGCCCCATCGTTTGGTGTCAGTGGGGGAGGAATAGTGCCCCATCGTTGGTGTCAGTGGGGGGAGGAATAGTGCCCCATCGTTGGTGTCAGTGGGGGGAGGAATAGGTGCCCCCATCGTTGGTGTCAGTGGGGGGAGGAATAGTGCCCCATCGTTGGGGTCAGTGGGGGGGGAGGAGAATAGTGCCCCATCGTTGGTGTCAGTGGGGGGAGGAATAGATGCCCCATCGTTGGTGTCAGTGGGGGAGGAATAGTGCCCCATCGTTGGTGGGGGTGGGGAGGAATAGTGCCCCAAATCGTTGGTGTCAGTGGGGGGAGGGGGATCGTTGGAATAGTGCCCCATCGTTCGGTGTCAGTGGGTTGGGAGTGGGGAGGAATAGTGCCCCATCGTTGTGTCAATGGGGGGAATAGTGCCCCATCATTGGTGTCAGTGGGGGGAATATAGTGCCCCATCACTGGTGTCAGTGGGAGGAAAAGTTGCCCCCATCACTGGTGTCAGTGGGAGGATATAGTGGCCCCATCACTGTGGCTGTCGAGTGGGGAGGAATAGTGCCCCTTCATTGGTGTCAGTGGGAGGGAATAGTGCCCCATCATTGGTGTCAGTGGGAGGAATAGTGCCCCATCATGGTGTCAGTGGGAGGAATAGTGCCCCATCATTGGTGTCAGTGGGGGAATACGGCCCCATTATATTGGTGTCAGTGGGGAATAGGCCCCATCATTGTGTCAGTGGGAGGAATACGTGCCCCATCATTGGTGTCAGTGGGAGGAATAGTGCCCCATCATTGGTGTCAGTCGGGAGGAATAGTGCCCCATCATCATTGGTATCAGTGGGAGGAATAGTGCCCCCATCAATTGGTGTCAGTGGGAGGGATAGTGCCCCATCGTTGGCATCAGGGGGAGCAATAGTTGCCCCAACATTGGCGTCAGTGGGAGGAATAGTGCCCCATCTTTGGTATCAGAGGGAAGTATAGTGCCCCATCGTTGGTGTCAGTGGGAGGAATAGTGCCCCATCTTGTCTGAGGTGTCAGTTGGGAGGATAGTGCCCCATCGTTGGTGTCAGTGGGAGGGATAGTGCCCCATCGTTGGTGTCAGTGGGGGGAGGAAATAGTGCCCCATCGTTGGTAATAGTGACCACCAATGATTGGGCACTATTCCTCCCACTGACACCAATGATACTTACCTTGCTGACGCCCCTGCTCCAGCCTGGGCTCGCTCGCTCCCTCCCTCTCCCATGGTACAAACACTTACCGGTCAGATGGCTTCCTTCTCCGGGCCGCTTTCCTCCTCTTCACTCGCTCGTGTGCTTCGCGGTGCCCGCTCGGCTCCTCCTTTCCAAGCTCCACCTCCTCGCCGGTGATTGGCCGCCTGTGTGCCTCTCTTGAGCTACAGTTCCGGCGGCCAATCACCGACGAGGAAGGATTGATCCCGGGGGGTGTGTCCAGATGACAGGGACGGCATGTCATCCGCCCACACCTGCAGACGGATCAAGGAGCGGTGTCTCGGTTCCTAAGGCCATCGGAAATATGTGTTTTCCGATGGTCTTAGGCGACCCCCTGGGAAAGTGTCGTTCGACCCCCAAAGGGGTCGCGACCCCCAGGTTGAGAACCGCAGGCTTAGAAGAACCCATGGTGCTGATTGTTGGGGCAAGGTCAGATGAGTCTGGGCATTTAAAACCTTTGAGATTGACATCACCTGGTCATCCCAGACGACGATTGAGAACAATCCATGACACTGGCAGGTCTCAGCTTGGCAAAGGGGACAGTGCATGCTATGAATTCTGCAGGGTGCCCAAACTTTTGCAGACACCATTTTTTTGTTTTCTGTTATTTGAAAGTGTAAATGATGGAAATAAAATCTAACTTTTGTTGACATATTATAAGAATGTCTAATCTGAAATTTGATGCCTTTTGGAGATTTTTCCATCTTTTCTTGGCTTCTTTATGCACATTAATACAAATGTTTAGCTGGGGTGCCCAAACTTTCGATCCCCACTGTATAATACATAAGGGAGGATATGATCTCCATGTATAATACATAAGGGGGGATATGATCTCCATGTATAATACATAAGGGGGGATATGATCTCCATGTATAATACATAAGGGAGGATATGATCTCCATGTATAATACATAAGGGGGGATATGATCTCCATGTATAATACATAAGGGGGATATGATCTCCATGTATAATACATAAGGGGGGGATATGATCTCCATGTATAATACATAAGGGGGGATATGATCTCCATGTATAATACATAAGGGGGGATATGATCTCCATGTATAATACATAAGGGGGGATATGATCTCCATGTATAATACATAAGGGGGGATATGATCTCCATGTATAATACATAAGGGGGATATGAATCTCCATGTATAATACATAAGGGGGGGATATGATCTCCATGTATAATACATAAGGGGGGATATGATCTCCATGTATAATACATAAGGGAGGATATGATCTCCATGTATAATACATAAGGGGGATATGATCTCCATGTATAATACATAAGGGGGGGATATGATCTCCATGTATAATACATAAGGGGGGATATGATCTCCATGTATAATACATAAGGGGGGATATGATCTCCATGTATAATACATAAGGGGGGGATATGATCTCCATGTATAATACATAAGGGGGATATGATCTCCATGTATAATACATAAGGGGGGGATGTGATCTCCATGTATAATACATAAGGGGGGATATGATCTCCATGTATAATACATAAGGGGGGATATGATCTCCATGTATAAATACATCAGTGGTTCATATAGTGAACTCGGTGTAGTTATTCACCCTGAGGTCATCAGAGAGGACAAGGGGGCGCTCTTTACGTCTGGAGGAAAATAAATGTAATCTCCAAACACGGAAATGTTTCTTCACAGTGAGAGCTGTGAGAATGTGGAATAGACTCCCGCAAGAGTTGGTTCTGGCCAGCTCAGTGGATTGCTTTAAAAAAGTCCTGGATGTTTCTTGGATACACAGAATATAACTGGATATAACATTTATAGGTAAAGTTGATCCAGGGAATATCCGATTGCCTCTCGGGGACCAAGAAGGAATTTTTTTCCCTGGAGGAGCAAATTGGATCGTGCTTTGCTGGGTTTTTTTGCCTTCCTCTGGATCAACTCTGGGTGTAGGATACAACTTTTTTTTTTTTTTTTAATGATTGAACTGGATGGACTTTTGTCTTTTTTCAGCCAGACTAACTATTTAACTATGATGTCTTATTTAAGGCTAGGTTCACATCTGTGCGGGTGGTGCCGCTGTGGATCCACGCGAAAATCCATGCAGCCACACAACCCACACAGAGAAATGCGGACCCGCGGGCGGGTGCTATTAGTTCTAATGGCATGCCACCCGCACTGGAAAACGCAACCGTACTGGGAAACCGAGAGCTGCGGTTTCAGAATAATAGTAAGTGGAGATCCTCCTGCACTGCTGAGAGTGAAGGAATAATGATATAAGCAGCCAACACCTAATCCTATACCTAAATCAGGACAATGCAATATAATAAACAAAATGGTGCAGCGTTATTTTAACACATACAAATAATTATAAAATCAATGGTTACAGATCAGTAAAGATAAATGCATATACAGTAATAAAGCCTACAGGTGCGCAAGATCTGCCAGGATCTTTTTAGGTGGTAAAAGGTGCAGAAGAAAAACATGCGGTCCAATAGGACCCAAAAGCATGACTTGAACCTGTCCCTCATTATTCCTGCATTATTCCTCCCACTGACACCAATGATGGGGCATATTTCCATCCACTGACACCAATGATGGAGTACTACTTCTCCGACTGATACAGGGCACTATTCCTCAAACTGACACCATTGATTTGGACTCTTCCTCCTTTCACCAGCAAAGGGGCCCTATTCCTCCCAACGATACTCACAATGGGGCACTATTCTTCCCACTAATACGAACGATGGGGGATTGGTCACATCAACTGACATCAAGTCATTTTCTACTACCACTGGCTAAAGTCTGCCTCCTCCTAAGGGCTCAAGGACAGTAAATTGGACCTTTGTTTAGAAGATTTAAGACCCCTGCCCTAGAAAAAAAAAAAAGGCCACACAGCTATGGGTATTTTTGTTTTTTTTTTGTTTTTTTTAATTTCCTTGGAGTTC